TAGAGTGTATAGTTTTTCGTTATCTATTTTCTGAAAACCGATTTTTTAAATTCTTTTACCCGTAAGAATTAGAAAAATTAAAAAAATCGGTTTTCAGAAAATCGGTAACGAAAAACTACACACTCTATAGCACTCCCCGGAAAATTCTAGCCCTATTTCATGTACTTGTGGTAAAAATTCGGTCCAATAGTTTTCACGTTATTAACGTTCAAACATACACCACCCGTAAGGATTTTATATAATAGTATAGATAATAGTATAGATAGAGTATAGATATAGATAATAGTATAGATAGATATAGATAGAGATATAGATTTGATCAGTCCATTTTATCATTTTTATGTTTATTTTATTCAAAATAAAAAAATCTATATAACTTCAATACACCGCTTAGCACGATCTACGACGATAATTTTCTGACGCACTTTTTCGAGAGTACCTCCAGGATATGTATTATGGTATGTTAGATGTCTTTAATGTCATTACAACAGTTTGCTTTCAGACAATTTCAGTTTGAAGATTATAGATAATAGTCACATGGAGTCAAGTAAATACGCGGGATGATCGAGTATAATTTGTTTCCAAACTGAGAAACTGCGAGAATCCGATGAACAGGCACATTGTTGCGCAAGAAAAAACAACTATATCGACAATGTTGTATTTGACTTTAATTCTCACAACGTATTTCACAAATATTTCAAAAGCTTTAAATAAAAGTCTTTGTTAGTAGTTTTTTTTCCGTAAAACGAATAATCGATTTACAAAAAAAATTTTACGTTTAGTGATCTTTCATTTAATATCGTAATATGCTTGTTTTAAAATATATTGAAAGTATCATACCAGAGTTACAAACAGAATTTTGCATCTTACATTCGCTCTTTGCTGCATCGTGTTTTCGTGATAACAATCTAGAATAAATACAACTATTATCTTTGTGTCATATAGATATATTGTATGTAAGTTTAGTAGTTAATAGATGATATATATACATTTTTTCAAGTATATGTTTTCAAAAGTACCATTTACTTACTAGGTAATAGATAAGCTTAAAATTAAAAACACTTACAATTAGCTTCATTATTACTTATATACTACACAATGAATTGCCTCTCATACAGCTATTAATTAATTAATTTGCAGAAATTTAATATAAGAGCATGCCGTCATGTTTTGTCATATTCTAACGGATAAGAAATAACGAAGTTCTGTCTGACAGGCATTTACTTATTTATGCTTCTAATTAATTCGTAGGATCTCTATCTAGCGATAAGCATCGAATTGCGTAATCATTAGTAATTACATTATGCCTATGAAAGTGCACAAGCATATTACATATCGTACTGTGCGTACGAATATCGCGTCGCCAGATTTTTCACGATCGCCAGTATCGTTGTGATCGTTCTACTATTTGCGGAATTATTGGAGCATGATTCGCAGCTAGGAGTGAGAAAGCGTAAGTAGACCATGTCAATACACATACGCGAGCGCACACGTAAATTCGCATTAAGCCACGAGCTGGCCTCATCAGCTTCATAGATTAGTAAGATAATAGATACAAATTCTGCAACTACAAGAGATTCAATTTCGTGCATACGATGCTATGAGAAGATATTTCGTGTAAACTTTTAACTCTGATTGTTTCAGATTTCGTTTAACAAGAGCCCGGCTTTAACTTTAGCTTTATGCCAACATATGTTATGGTCAGTCAACTGCTCAAGATGTGGCAAAGAGAAGTGATATGGCGCGACGATACGGTCATCTCTTCAAAGATCGGATCCAATCTTCTCGGATATTGACTGCGCTATATCATACTCCGTGCTCTTCCTCGCTCTTTTCTGACCACCAATAGAAGCAGCACGGTAACATCGATGGAAACTCCGGTATTCAATCCCTACTGCCGTACCACTACCCCTTCCGTCATACCCGCTGCTTCTCATTTCTCCGCCTTTTCTTCTCTGTCTGCCTCGTTCCTTCTCCCATAACTTCAACAATTCCAATAGTCGTTAATCTGTCGGAAACTTTCGGAAAACTTGCCGTTATTGCAGGTAGATGGGCGGGACCGTACGAGTTGGATGAGAGAAGAGAAGAGAGTGAGAGACGAGGAAAACGTCGGAGATGGAGGAGAAAGAGGAAGAGACGCAGTGGGGATTTCGAGTCTGACTGTATAAGGAGGAGGGTGGTTCGTGAGAGTGGCTCAGGGTGCTACCCCCAGATGGGTGTTACAGGGGTGCAGGGTGGTAAGTTAAATAAACTTGTTTAGTTTCGCGGAAAGTTCTGCACGGCCATTGTATTCGACTGCCGTGCTACCGAGTTTGCTGCGAAAGTTTCGAATAGGAACGAACTCACTTCCCCATTACGCTTTATTCGCTTGTTTTGCTGGCCCGCCCCGCCCCGCCCCGCCGTGCCGCGTCGCGCCGCTCTACGCAACGCCACGCCGCGCCGTGCCATACCGCGCCACGCCACACCACACTACGCTATATCACGCCACGCCGCGTCTCTGTGCCAAGTCAAATCGTGCGGAAGCCGAGTCACGCCGCCAAATCATTCTTATAATGATACCGCAAATGTTTACAAATCAATCTTAATTATATGAATCAGATCGGTACGGATTTAAAGAATTTTTTAAGAGACTTTTTGTGTTATGAAATAATCCTTAGTAATCTGAATGCATATCACATGGTAACTTACAATGCATATTACATTGTTAGATTTTTCGTATATGTTCGATCTTATTACTACTATATTACTATTTGACCTACTCGTTTCATGCTTTCATGTTCGCTTGATAAGCTGTCTGATAGATATCAATATCTATAGATAAGATAATGATTTTGATTGCATAACATTGATAAAAAGTTTAAATAAAAACTCGTAAAAAAGTAAATCAATATTACTTAATGTTTAACCCTTCGCCCGTAAACTATAATTTGACTGGCATCGTCCGTAATCTGGGTCGTAAATGTTCTGTCGTTATTTTGACCTAGTAAATAGTGTTCAAAAAATCTGAAAAAATTCTGTAATACTTGTATACTATCCTATTTTATAATCCCAAAGTTTATTTAGCGATTCGTTATAAAATAAATTGTTTATAAATAATTCTTTATGCAAAAAATTAATAAAAATCCATTTTTATTAAAAAAATCATATCTCATTGAATTTTAAATCAAAATAAAAAATTCCAACGAGGTTTTATAGTTAAATATGTGTACTTTCAAGAAAAAATTCTGTATATGGGTCATTTTCAAAAAGTATAATTATTCTGAGGATTGAAAATGGCGTTTTTCGGGTTAAAGAAAAATAAGACTTTTAGCGTAATTTTTACATTATTTTATTAAAAAATTATATAAAATCATTTAAGAACATTAAGAGTGATTTATTCTGTCCAAGAATTAGCACATGACAAACATAAATTTGTGCTTGTATCGAAATCGGAGTCTCCGTCAGCTTCTTCAGGCCCAGACACGTGCTCCTCGACTTCCTCGTGGTCTGACTCATTTTCAGAAGCTTCATCCTCAACTGCGTGACGTCTTTCTCGTAAATAATATCTGATATTTGTCGCTTGATCATTCATTGTACTCTGAAAGTACATGTAATTTCTTTTTACACGTGTTTTCATCCACTCATTTTGAGGTTATATATATAATATACACAATCATAAAAAAATATCACTTATATAAGTTAAAAATAACTGTAGTAATATGAAAATGACGTTAAATTAATTTTACTTACTTGCACGAAAGTCTGGCACTGTCCGTAATCAGGGTCAATATTGGCACTGGACGCACTTTGACTCGCTGCTGGTCAAGCACACACTGGCGAATTCCAATGAAACTTACGAAACTTTGGGCATGAGTTCTCCCCACTACCTACTTTTTTTACGAGGGAAAGCAAGCCCTCCCCCCTTTTCATTTCGGCGGTATTCTATTTTGAATTTCGGCTTGTGCCATTTACGACCCAGATTACGGGCGAAGGGTTAAATTTAATCAGATATCTCTACGGTACACCGCAGTTTTAATTTGCAACATATAATGTAGATTTGTGATTATATTCTACAGTACGTCGAGATTTTTACACTCACTGTTCGAAATCTCATTACGCGACAAACATTTCGTCGGTTTTAGATCTCATACATGCAGTCTCATATCGCGAAAATTATGTGATTATTGTATACGTCGATATTTATAAGCGATATATTATATCAATATTAATTATACATAACAATTTTCTATTTATTTATTGGTGGCTATTTGACAATTATATTTCTGTACCTTAGGGGTAAGGAATCGTATCTTCAGTTTCTGTCAAAATTAGAGTTAATTTACTTTTTCCAATATACCAGGAGTTGAAATTGTATAATATGATAGACGGTCTTATATCCATTATTACTATAGTTGATCCTAAGGTACAATGTTAGAAAAAGTCGAATTAGAAATTTTTATAGAAATAACAAACTTTAAATTATGTTTCTTAAATTTTTAATAATGGAGATACGATTCTTTATTTCTAAGGTACAGATTTAGAGAGCTGCATTAGCAATTGTATCATTAATCATTTAGAATACTATATGAATATTTCACTTTGCAGACCGTCCGAGTTAAAACTAAGATTCTGAAGGGTAAAAATTACATATTATTGGAACTAATTAGGGAGTACCTGAGCAAAAAAAAAGAGAGGAAATATGAAAGGAGAGAAAGAAGACGATATAAAATACGATTATTCGTGCTGCAGGTGGTAGTGCTGCGATGGCGAAGTGACCTTGGCAGTCAGGAATCCGGTCTGACAACATGGATCGACACAACCCACTGGCGTAAGAATCCCTTCGTCCATCCATCTATGCATCCACTTATTCATCCGCGACGTCGCCGTCGTGGATTGGCCTTACGATCGATATGCGCTGGATAAATATTCTACGATTAAATTATATTTGTTCCAAACTGAATGACCAGAGCTCCATTTAAGTTCTTTGAAATCGTAGATGAAAAGACTTCAGTATTGCTTTTTGACGTGATATAACGTATATACCACATGACTTGTCGCGATGTAAATATTTACTCGTGAAAGACTCATTAATTTAAAACGATCTTGTTCATTCTTTCATTCTTTATCAAACATTGATAATATCAAATAATCACACACATTTTATTAACATTTACATTGTTAAAAACTATCATTGCATAATAAAGAAAGGAATTGTGGCAATTTTTTTTTTTTTAATCAAAATCCCATTACAATATAGCAGCTATACAACAAAATCACGCGTGTCTTGCATTTGCACGCACTCGTATCAATATAAATTCTTATTTTTTCCTCACTCTTTTTCGTTGTTTTATCTATCACTTAGTCGTTAAGTGCATCGGTTTGTCGAAATTTTGAATGTAAGTTTATGTGGCTATGGTCATATTTACACGAGCAGATCCGAACGAAAAGGAACGAACGAAGCACGCGCCCGTGCTGTACGAGTTGAACGGCCTTAAGGACTCAGGTGCGTGCACCAGGTGTTCGTCGTTTTGCGAGTAAACGTGCGAACGAGCGACAAGAATGAAACTATCAAAGGAAGAAGAGAGAGAGAAAAGGAAGAGTGACATATCATAACCGAATGAGAAAGATGATCGAACGAGGGCATAAGAGGATGAGTGGATCAACAAGAACATATCTATTATTTCGGAATACCGCTGTTAAACCGCCAAATAAACCATCCTGTAATTGAAGAAATTTTGAAATTGAATCAATTGTACAAATCAATTGCGGTATAGGAAAAGAAATTCGAATATTGGAAAAAAGATGACATAAAAGTCTTATTTCTTTTGAGAGATGAGACTACATACTACGCTGAGCGTAATATAAATCCAATCGCGTTCAATTATGATGCAAGTTCGCATATAAAAAGTATCACGGAGTAAAATCAGAGAGGAAATCCGTATATCGCATTAGCTATTTTTCATTAAATGGAAACTCGTCACAGTTTAATTGAATTCGATATCATCAATAATAGAATGCCGTAAATATATTGACAAAATCTAGTCTTACTTCAATATAAATCAAGTAATAGCGTGGGTCGATAGAATTTGATAATACCGACTGATCCATCATAACATGAATTTAAATATTAACAATCGCCAGAAACATAAAGAAATATGTATTATTATATATAGTATGTAAATAAATGAGAATAAATGCTTTTATTTTTCATCAATTTGAAGTCACAAAAATGACACAAAATTATTTTCAAAGCAAAATTCGAAATATTTATAATATTACTATAATACTACTACACACATCTGTGCATTCGGCCTATTTTAACACGGCGCAATGGATGTCGACGCACATCTCGTGTAACTAGAAACTAGTACGTACGTACTAACGTACGTTTTTTCACTAATATCAAATTATGTGTGGTGTATATGTATTTGTCACCTCGCTTTCAAAGTGCCTATTCAATAGTAGGTGTAATTCAAAATTGTTCAGTTTAGTTTCGCAATAGTTCAGTTTCACTAGTAATTCAATTTCGTTATGGCGTGCAGATACACGCAACATATATTGTGTGTGTGTGTGTGTGTGTGTGTGTGTGTGTGTATGTGAGCATAATCTTGTCAAAATAAAATGTAGTTATGTCGATAGAAAAGATTCGGAAAATTTAGTCGTCCTAACAAACTGCAAAAATAACGTAAATTCTGAGCATTGTCATTGATAAAAATTTATACAAATTTTATTTTGAAGATAACCAACGCGTTACACTTCCTCAGCATTAAATATAATGATCAGAAAAAATTGCTCGTAAGACCAAAAGATTGGCTTCTGACGTCTCACAAGCTAATGAGAAGGATTGAGCTATATTATAAATATATATAAGGAACTAATTATATTATTAATATAGACTATTAACTGTAAGTATGCCAAAATTATAAAATTATAAATTTATGTCCTAAAATGTAATTTTCTTGAAACAAATTTTTTTTAAATATCTACCATAACTTAAACGCGATTTACCTTATCTGGAATTTTAAATTAATATTTTTTAAATAACAATTTTATAATATTCCAATATATAATTTCAATATGATAATTTTTTACAATAGTTTATGGAGGTTGTTATGGGAGTCTCTTTAAATTTTCATTTTTTTCTTAAATAATAAAAATAAGAAAATTAAAAGAAAGTAATTTCCAAATTCATTGTTTTGCAAATTACCTCGAAAAAAAAACAGTGGTAGTATTATACCTTAAAAAAATCTAAGTAACA